CACAAATTACACCCAAACTCACGAGAGAAATAAATGTAGGCCTTACAAATATTTCTCCCGGCTCGGTAATCGAACCCGGGACCTCCGCGTGGCAGTCCAACGTGGTAACCGTTCGGCCACGGAGGCAGTTTCCCTAGTTTGAGACCAGGTATTTGGTGTTGTGTGGCACATTATCTTGGACTCGCTTATTAATAGGTAACATAAAAATTAACAAAAATAATTAAGTTAAAACACGTGTATGTAAAAAAGACATTAATTTGTCCAACGGGTTCCTGTTATTCCGATAAAATAAGTAGGTACGCTCCACTTGTTTACAGCCGACGTAAACAATTCCGCGTAGACTGTGTACTCACTGTTGTGACGTCATAATGGTAGCCCTGTACGAGGATAATATGACGAATGGTTATCAAAATGATAAGTTTATTTACGATGTAGTACTCTTGACAATGCACAGAGCACATATTTTTATTTATTGACACTTATCGTATAAGGCGGGTCAGAAATAGTTTTATGTCTTAAGTGATAAGAGCGAAAATGACGTTACGCGTTTGCCTGTTGACTAGATGCAATAATGCTCTATAAAACTCTATGCCACTTGAGATAATAGAGTAATTTTCAGTTTTGTTTCTCTACTTACTACTCTATATTTCGGTGGCAATTGTTAAGCGACTTCAAAAAAAGGAGGTTCTCAATTCGACTGTGTTTTTTGCATGTTTGTTATGCGATTATTCGGCATTTGTGAACCGATTTCGATGATTCTTTTTTGTTGGAAAGACCACAGTGTTGTGACAAAGCACCACAGTGTTGGTCCTATTTAAATTTGAAGTATATATTTGGATTAATCCGGTTTCGCGCACTTTCCGGCAACCGATCGATCGACCGATCCGGTAACTGATGCTCTCGCAGATTTTTATTAATAAGGGATATCCATGTGAGGCGGGGTCTACCACGTCCCTTGGGCTGGCTACTCATGTCAAGGACTTTTTTGTCATATGATCAGGCGGTCGTCGCATAACACCCGTACTACCTAAGTCGGCTCTCAAGCAACTTTTCCTGGATAGGCCTCAGTTTAAAACTGCCTCTTATGTGGATGTTTTTGACGTGGTCTAATCTTGTAACGCCGGCGCCGGGCGCCCATCTTAGCATTTTCATTTCCGCGCTCTGTATTATATTTTCTTGCAGCTTTTTGAAAAAAAATTAAATAAAAAATTATTGTTATTATTTAAGTATTCAAGTACATTATTGTGAGGTTTTAAATATTATTTCAGGAAAGTACACTGTAATATTAAGTAATACTTCATGAGAGTGTCCTAGAATATTTAAATAATAAAAATTGCCACCGAAATTAGGTAGAGAAAACTAACGTGAAAATTACCCTAGAACGATCCTCTGTACTTTCCAAGGTACTTGTAAGTGCCTAAAGCTATTAAGAAAAATGCATTTAAGACGTTGTTTCTGATGAACTACTTTGTTTCTCGAATCGTAACTATTGTTTTATTGAAATGTTTTCACGCGAATCGCTATTTCTGTAGGCGCCATGCCGTCACGAGCGCGCTGCGAAATTTCTAAGAACACTCGGTGCTCATTTACACAAGTCTGCACAGGGAAAAGTTTTCTATTTCCAACTTCACTGTCAATGTCTTCGATGCATCTGTCTGCACCTTTACGCGTGCAAAAAGAGGCAAGAAAAAAGGACCTAGGGTATCGCGTTGCATTTCTACGAAGATGGAACCGTTGTGGGGTTCCTTGTGAAATGCATTTCAATAGTTTTATTACAAATATCGATATCATTCAACAATCGACTGAAATGGAAGCTACTCCATTAATATTTACATTCATTACAACTATTGAATTTTACAAGTTGGGAGGCGTCTCTACTAATTGACACTCTTTCTAATCTGGGTCAGTTCTAAAATAAACTGGGAAGTAAATATGTACTAGTGGTAACAGTCGATGCCCTAAGATACTTGCCCTATATTGTAATATTATCTTTTTTGAATATCACAATGTTTTGGTACCATGTTATTAAATATTTTTTTTTGTGAAATTACTCCACTATAGTCTATTCCACATGTGATGGGTACTATGACATTTCGATTTTTTTTTATATATTATTATATGCTACGTAAAAATTATTTTTAACTAATCTCTCAACCAGGTTACGAAAACAAATTGTAAATTTGTTACAATATAGCAAAAACAAACAAATTTTTTGCAATTGTAATTTTAAGTAAAAAATACGGTATATTAAGTAGATGGAAATCGAAATGATTGAGATAAAAATAAATTACTCCAATTATTTAATATATAAAACGGAATATTTATCCATAGAGATTTACACCATCGAATCGATAAATCAAATCGGCTATTATTCATTATCCTTTTCATTTTCTTTGTTTTTTGTTCTAAATTATTGTCTCTACATCGATTCACTCTTAGTTACAAATTATCTCGATAAGATATTTAGATCGATTCTTTTTCATTCGATTTTACGTGACTACTCTAGAAACGTCAAATCTCAAACGCCACCGTACCTGTGCTATGTGAAATGGATTATAGTTTGTTATAAATATATACACATCGATCACTAAAACAAATTCCGTCGGAATCGGAGTATCTTTCAGTATACTGCCTGACGCTCTCCAAAACTGAGCTACGAAACGAACCATCATACCTATTTCTCTGCCTGTTGCAGATCTTTGTTTCAGGTTTGTAACGATTTTTTTCACTATACATGCATACATATCGGAGGCGGACTAGAGATGACGCTATATGTATAATATTAAGTTTATTGAATATCACGATGTTAGAATCGATAAATCGACCACGATACTATTCTATTAAATTATTTTTTGCCGTATATGACTTACCCATGTGACGATCGGACGTTAATGTATAGACAATGTCATTCTAATGTTTTAAATACTATAGTGTCCCAAACAAGCCCGAAAAAGAACTTACTAAGCGTCTTGATGTCTGGACTAGGCCGTATAAAAACAATATCGATCGTCCCAAATTGGAAGACAGCCAAATAAACATAATGAATTTGTAAACATTCTCACAAAGATCTACATTACGACTATCGTTATTCACTTGAGCGTTTACTTGAATATTTACTCGAGTGTTTACTTGAATATCTACTTGACTGCTTCTTATAATTAGGTAGAGAAATTTCAGAAATTGTGCTCTCGAATTACTAAAGCTAGATTTTGATGCTTGAATGTAGAAAATCTCACTTAGTTACGTATTTTCTGTAAGAGCGTCTTACAATTTAAGTCTTGGTTGACATTCAACGTTGTTGATATTATTTACTCTCAATGTTATGTATTATTGCGTCAGACGACCACATCATTTATCTGGCTTTAATCTTCTGTTGTGCCCTGATACCTGTACGAGGGAAGATCCCTACGCGGCCACGGATAGCGCAATCAAGGTAGCAATTGCTGCTCAATATAGTCCTAAAATAAAGAAGTATTCGACACGATAAGAAGATCTGACTTGGATTACTTATCTATTATATTTTAGTAGCAGTAGATGTGCCACATTGTTATCTATTATATTATATTATCTATTTCTGCCGCCAAGCAGTAATGCTCATTATTTCGTTCCGATTTTGAATGGTATAAGTGCTGGTGAAATTTCATACACGTTACAGCTTAGCTTTCAACTTAAGTCTCAGGGTGACGGGCACAGTGCTCCTCAGACCTTTGCGGTATAAAGCTTAGAGCAACACTGCAACTGTTATAGAAAGGCGAGTCGCTTACTGTCAGTCAGTGTACTCGAGTTTTAGGGGGTTACTTACACACTGTACCTACATAATGCACCAGTACAATGCACTGAGAGTATATTACGTTAATATCTTCAGAATGCTATTAGGACTGCCACAGCACTGCAACACGACCAGCATGCTCGCCGAGGCGCGAATTGATGACTTTTATGCCATTAGTAGTGGCAATGGCATCCTAATGATGTTTGTCCATCGTGTTGACTGTACAATTTTGAAGTTTTCGGTAAAGATTGGTCAAATTAACTAGTGATTAGTGTATTTACCTTTTTTTTTCACACACTCATAGCCCCGCACTAGAGAAATCCTGTGTCGCGGGTGCCATGGACTACCACAAATTACACCCAAAGTCACGTAAGAAATAAATATAGGCCATACAAATATTTCTATCGGCGCGTTTCTGCGTGGTAGACCTGCCGTAAGTAACCGTTCGTCCACGGAGACGGTTAAATTAATTTTCCAAATTCATTGCAATTGTACCAACATAGTTTTAAGGGTTTCTTTTGTAACTAACACCATTGTATCGTTGGCAGTGGCCTGAAACAAATGATTTTATTATTACCACTGTAGACGCACGGCTTCTTCGTCCCGTTATTTGATATCATAAAAAAATTCAAGCCTCAAACTTGGGAATTCTCAGTACTATGAGTAGCAGAGTAACGAAATTCACTCGGGGATATACCCGTAACACCCAGTCCGACCGAATTGGAATCGAACCCCGGGGATATTCTCATCCAATGTCAAAAAAAATATATAAGCTTAATTAAAACCAAAATTCTATTTTACAACAGGACGTACATATTTTAAAACAGTCGTTATAACCTAAATTGCACCTTTGAAAAAAAATTCAAAATACAAAATTAAAAAACACGTTACCGTAGTTGCGCTTGTGTTATTTATTTAATAAATTTTGCGATGAAAAAATATTCAACTCGAGGGCAGCTATTTTGCACGACTTATCCCTCGCTTTGTTCGCAGAGTAACAAATTAATTTACTTCTATTTTTATTAAAGTGATATATCAAAAAGATGTTGAATATTAACGCGTAGGTATCTTTTGTTTTCCTCAATGATAAGCATCAAGATTTCTAAGGATAACTTTCTCTCGAAGTACCTATGTACGTTACAAAATAGTAGCATTGTCAGTCGTTTGTTTTTTTTTCATGACAACATTGAATAACAATCCAGAATTACATATCCCTATTCTTTGTCATCAGGATCGAAAAGACTCCGGCGCCGCCGCCACCGCCGCCGTCTGTCGGAAATGCTCACGCCAACCTGATGGAAGCGATCCGGCAAGCAGGAGGCGCTGGTCGAGCCAAACTGCGGTCTGCCGTTGAACCTCCTGCAGTGAAGGTAAGTCTTCGTATTTATTACAATATTACAACTTTCATTCACTGCATAAAGAAATGTTTCCATCTTATCCGCAGTAATCTGGGCGTCAAGTTATTGTAATTCCATGGAGAAAGATTGAGATTATATTGCAATAATAATATTTGTTATATTGCTGAAATAGGTCGGCATGGCACTGATGATATTCATTCATTCAATCAATCACTAATGATCGATGCTGCCTTACTTACCTAACGAGAAAATTACTAGATTAAAATAAATAAAATAAAAGTAGAACCGAATTGAGACCCTTCTTCTTTTTTGTAGTCGTTTAAAAATGATTTGGGCTTATACAATCATCCTTGTCACGAAGCCACGTGTTTCTACCCTGTTATCACTGTACTTTATGACTTGGGAATAAGTATGACGTTATTGTAAAACATCAAAAAGTGTAGGTTTGAACTTGTTATGATCATGAAACGAAAAATTATGTCCCGCTGTGTAAACAATTGCTTTACGCTATTGTGTTCGATGATAATACAATAGTTCGATGAAAATACAGTTGGGTATACTGAAAATTTTTTGTTATGATACTTAAATGGCCTTTAGCTTATTATACTACATAAATTTTATCGTTCTTTTATACAGCTAATGTAACTGAATTAGGAGATAGGAATTCCGCTAGGGTAATTTTTATCTTAACCTATTTGTGCCCCACTGCAGGGCAAAGGTCTCCCAAAACTCTTCCTGTCTTCGACGATTTCCCCGTCAACGCCTTCTCGGCTTCTTCGGCAGATTCTTCTCGAACGTCCAAATTTTTTTCAATTATTATTTATGATACCGAGTGACGGGACGAAGTCGTGATTCCGGTGGTAAGCGACACGCCTGTACGTAGTCGTTGCAGAACTTTAAATCTATAGAAGGCATTTAAATATCTTGCTAAAACGAAAATTCCACGACAATGCATTGATTTAGCGGTTTTCACTTACTATTTCATTTTGCCCTCGCCTGAGGAGAGACCCGTGCCCAGCAGTGGAACGTATATGGGTTGATGATCATGATTTGATTTTAAAAGTAAAACATTTTATTTACCTCAACATTTCGGACTGGTTGCAATGTTTACCTTACCTATTTCTGCCGCCAAGGAGTAATGTCAGCATTACTGTGTTCCGGCTTTGAAGGCTAAGGGGCGACTTATTTATTTGACACGAATTTCAACGTGTTCACCACGCGCGGCGCCGCGCGGTCGAAGAGCGGAGTCCGCGTTGCCGCCGCGCAGCGACCGCGTGCGTCTAACTGTCATGGCGAAATACGCTCTATTTGTTTAGCTCTTACGTTTTAATTTAAATGAGCGTTCCGGGCACAGAGGCTAGCCTGGCTTGAATTTAAAATTACCTATGTAGGTAATTTTATGGAGAGGAGTTTAAATGTTGTTGCATAGTAAATAGAATTTAGATTCGCCATTAATATACATGAAGGCGTGGTAACCATGTGGCGGCGGCCGCGCGGAAACTTTCTTCTCGTGTAACTGGGCGCTAAGGGTGCTAGTGATATTACAGGCACATGGGATTTGTCAACTTATGTCTCAAGGTGACGAGCGCAGTGGCAGTGCCCCTCAAATCTTTGCGAGTTAAAGCTCGGAGTGGCACTGCAACTGTTGTGGACAGTCGTGTAGTTTACCATCAGGCGCACTTGTTTGTCCCGTCACTTGATATTACAAAAAAACCGACCTTGGTCTCGAGGGACATGAATAAAAAATCAAATAAAATGCATAGCTTTCAGTCTACATCAGGATGTTACACCTGGACAGTAACGTGAATATGTACGGTATGTAACTGAATTAGATTCAATTATAATGACATTACAGTTTTAATTACGGTTGTTCTTCGAAGCAATAGGTTCGGGATATTAACGATTCATGGTAAATCGATGACGTCGTTCGACCGCTGTCAATGAAATGACTGTAAACTGTACAATATTGTTTAATTGCTTTATTTGCATTCCTAATTTAAAAGTTTTTTTTATCTGGTGTCAAACGAGGGCATTACCTGTATGAGTATTAGAGCTACAAATGAACTCTGATGCATTACGTAAAACATCCGAACTATAAACAACTTCAGAAACATTCTAGCGGGAATCGAACTACGGATCTCCTAATTCAGTGCTCGTCATAATTGCTATACAAAAGGCAGTAGTTTTAGCAGCAGTAAAGTTCCCTGTGATAGAGTTCGTCCAGAGAAGTACTGCCACCTTACCTATTTCTGCCGCCAAGCAGTAATGTGAGCATTACAGCGTACCGGTTTTGAAGAGTACTGGTGCTGGTGAAATTACAGGCACATGGGACTAGTCAACTTATGTGGTGAGGAGCGCAGTGGCAGTGCCCCTCAGATCTTCGTCGTTTAGAGCTTTGAGTGGCACTGCAACTGTTATGGACAGTCCTGTCACTTGATATAAAAAAAGAAAGAAACGGATAGAGTGTTAACCATGTGTTGACACATAATAATGAAGAGTCGCAACTATAGTCAATTTCACATACTATTGAGTCCTGTGACATTATCAATTTTTACGTTATACATACGCGTACTGTTTTTAACTAATCTCTCAACCAGTAGGGATAACACGATGCGAGAATAGCAGTGTCTCGCGCTTTATGTCGCTCTCGCGCAAGTTGCGCCCTTTCGTGCTAGCTCTACAGGCTAGAAAAAGAGATATAATGTCACAGACAAAGTCTGCAAATATCTACTCTGTTTGCGAGGGGGAATAAAATGAAAATACGAGCATACAAATAAACATTTTGTACGTTCCCGGAATCCGCTCGAGATTCACTTCAACGTGATTTAATTGGCGTGCTCTTATCGAAAAAGGCTCAGAGATAGCCTAATAAAGGGCCTCCTCATTATTGCTATCGGCGTCGGCGAAGTTTCAAGAAAGCGATTTTTTTTAATTATACGGTATTTCATTTTCCTTCCAAGAACCTGTCACGTTCTATGATAATGATAATGTAACTATGATAATGGTATCAACAGTTCCATTGTTCTGTAGGGCGACCATTGTTTTGTTTCTTGACGTAAATTACTGGCACAATTGGTCACGGGTAAAAAGTAAAGCAGTAGCAGTAGAGCTTATTGTGAAAGAGTTAATAATAATAATAACGCACACACTCAACATAGCCCCGCACTAGGGAAACCCTGTGTCGCGGGTGCCATGGACACACATAGACAACCACAAGTTACACCCAAACTCACGAGAGAAATAAATGTAGGCCATACAAATATTTCTCCCGGTCCGGGAATCGAACCTCTGCGTGGCAGAGTGGGAATCGTTCGGCCACGGAGGCAGTTAATTCGTCCAGGGAAGTACTGCCACCTTACCTATTACGGAGTAACGGGCGCTGTAGCAGTGCCCCTCAGATCTTTGTGATTTAAAGCTCGGAAGTGTTATGGACAGGCGTGTCGCTTACCACCAGGCGGACGACTTGGGCGTCCCGTCATTTGGCATTATGTAAAAATAAAAGAAATCCGAAATCTTAAAACGGTTTCTCTCGAACTATATATCCATAATATTAGAACTTACCTTAGAACTAAGTCCAAACTCATGGTACCACGATTTCGTTTAACTAAGGTAAACGATTATTTTATGGGGAACTGTGTGTTTTTACAATAAGATTCCGGAGCATAATAATATATTAAGATTACCATTTTCTAAGTTTAAAACTTACATTAAAAGTATTTTAATTGAAAAGTCAATACTAAATTGAAGAACATGTTTTAGCTAAAGAAGTATGGAAAGGCAACATGAGTCTAGATTCCACTCAATTATGATTCAAAGTGTTTTCCATAGCATTTAAGTTTATTTGAAAAGAGCAATCCCTAGAGTTACTTGCTCGTTCTTATGAGACAAAAAAAGAAAAATGACAGTTTCTAGTGTAAAAGTTTTATCTTTGGAATAAATGATTATTTGACTTTGTCTTTTGACTTTGAGACTTTTGACTTTGACTTTCATTACCTAATTTCCTTGGCAATTTTTATTATTGAAATATTCAAGTATATTATCGTGAAATTATTAAATAATATTTTACGGTACAATGCTCGAATATTAAATAATATAGAACGATAAAAAGTTGAATACTTAAATAATAAAAATTGCCACGAAAATTAGGTAGTGAACACTAGACCGAGAATGACCGAAAACACAAACATTAGAGTTTAATATCAGTACTATTATTAAACACGAGGACGTCTCTTAAACGTATTCCGGTGTAGAGACCACTTCTTGGAAATGAACATTAGTGTAATTCGGTAATTAAAAGTAGGTTTTGACCGCATTTATCTTCGTGGACGGACGTTATTATGGATGAGCAATTTGTGAATTAGAGTGGCTTTATTTTTATTGCGCATGATTTTTCTTAATTATAGATAAAAGAAGAGTTCAGATTCAGAAGAATGACCAATGCAAACTATATATAAACAAACTATATATATATATATAATAATAAATGCAAAAGTAACTCTTTGTGTTACATTTCACGCCTAAACCATTGAACTATTTTTGATACATTTTGGTGTAGAGATAGATGGAACTTTGGAAAAGGACATAAGGTTACTTTTTGTCACAAAAACAAATCTTAAAGGGTTGACATAGGATGAAAGTTTATATTGAGAACACAATCTTAGTAATTATTCTTATATTCGAAGTTATTATGACCACTTCGGTGAACCAACGGTATGCACTGTGGACACTGAATGAGGAGGTTCCGGGTTCATCTCCGGTAAGACCAATTTCAGAAACGAACTTTTCTAAATTGATTCTACTACTCATAGTATAGGGAACACTCTAGTTTGAAACCAGGCAATTGGTGTGGTTGTCTGGCATATTATTATTATTCTACGGAGACAAAGTCACGGGCACCAGCTAGTAACAAGAGAAAAAATGCTGATCTAACGAGACTCCACGAATAAATGTTTGTTTAAAATTTTCATATTACTATTTTTAACTGTCGTTTACGTTGTGTTTTACCCAAAATT